GTGTTGCCTGGCAAAGTCCTGCCTCCTCCATATATCTTTGCTTCTTTGAATACAAATTCTGTCATGAAGTAATGCAGTAAATGAAGACAGGAGCTGGGAGCACGGACCATGTTGAAAGCTTCAATGAAAAAACTAGTGATGCGTCTTGTGTGCCGAGGCTACGCAGCGTGCGTCGAGTAATCCAGGAGAATTTTTACGAAGCGCGTATCGAAGCTTGTGTTGGTGGAGCACGTTGTGACGTTTGAAGTCTCAAAAGCGGCCGGACCACCCGACTGATTCAGGAACTAGTTTGTCAGTTTGCTTGCGGATCGAAATGAATAGCGAAACTCTGTCGTTTCCTCCGTCACATTTTCTCGTTTTAGGATTTTATTGAGTGTGCGTTTGCAATTCATTGGAGCGCATTTTTCCAGTGGACCCAATTTTCCCTTGTCTGCCAACATTTTGATCTCTCCAAATAGTTTCACACATTAACAATAAACCATCACCTATAATGTCGAAAAGCCAGTCCAGTGGTTCCTGTGTTCTGATTTCTAATGCTTTAAAAGGATAAGTGTCGTGTCCAAATGAACTTTAATGGTGTATATAAAAAACCGGTAACACTTTATTTGAAGGGGGGTGAATAAGACTGTCATGCCACTTTCATAAGCATGACATAACACCTGTCATGAACATGAATAAGCCTTCATGAATATTTATGACTGTTGTCATAAAGCGTCATTCGGTAAATTATGACTCTTTTAATACAAAGTTGACATTATTCAAAATGTCTTTGTTATGACAACTTGACATTAACCAAGAAATCATTACTGTTCAAACTTTACCTTTAATAACATAAAGTTACCTAATTTTTAAAGTGCAATCAGTAATACTTTTATAACAAATTTATATCAGTAAAAAGTAAAAAGTACAAAAACAGGAATCCAAAACTAAAAGCCTAACAGGATAAAACAGGGACTTAGTGTGGTATAACTGGATCTGATGGGATACAACAGGAGTAACTGTGAATAAGTTGTAAATATACTGGAGAGGTTGATCACTAAACAAGGAACAGATGGCTGATTAGAAACGTGTTGCAGGTGTGAGGAGACAGAGCAGCAAGGAATAAACAGAACCAGAAACAGTAAGGAGGACTGAACTAAAGCAGTAGAAACAAGACCTATCTAATCAAAGAAAGAGACTTAGGAACACAAAAATAATCAAGCCTCAAAAGCAACCGAGGACATTTTTTTTTTAAATCTATTTGCTCAAACAAACCCATGATAAATTGGGCATTGGTTGCACATTGTCTGAACCATGCTTGCGTTGTATTTCAGTAATTGAGAAACAGTTTCAAATAATGTGGAATGACATGAGAAAAATCCAGTGCTAAATGAGCGACTCCAGGCTACTTTTAGGGGTGATGAATAAAACACTAGATGTATTTTTCCTTTTTTCTCTCAGTCCATGTTTGTATTGTGATGTGATGATTTAATATTAATCATTGTCCTCTGGAGGGTAACGAATACATAGTCTGGTCAAATGTTTAAACTGGATATCATTTTATGATTAAAAATACTTTGGGTAACAGGTGGGAAGAGAAGATTAAAAAGAGAAAGAAGGGGCTGTTTTTGGGGAGCGGTGGGGTGTTTACCTCGGGCGAACACCTGCCAAGGAAGATTGGTGTGAGGATCTGTGGTATTCTGCAGAGCAGGCCTGCCAAAAGCCGACACACTTTCTGTTGAGATTGTTTCGACTCCCTTATTTCTCCATGGCAATGTTTTCCCTCCAGAGGCGACTTTCATTGGAATGGGAACAGAGCGACCAATGAGGTTTGAAATTTTAGAATGGAAGTGATCAACCAACTCGTTCGCCGAGTTACAGGATGAAGTGGAGGTGGAGAAGTAATGTCAGGAATGATGTGGTTGTGGTGAGGAGATGATGCTGACACCCAGGTAAGGTGATGAGTGAGATGAGTTTAATGATGAAAATGCTCGATAAACAGTCCAGGACAGGCAGCACGGCAGAAAACAAGCACGCAGCTAAACGCCGGTAGCAACTGACAATAAGGACTAACGGAAGCAAGCACAAACCAGGACTTGGCAGTTCAACTGGCGGGTGATAACAGAGAGCACGTAGGACAGCAAAACACGAACTGAAGGCAGCGTAGACAAGGACCCGACACAGACAACAGGTGAGACTAAATACACACGGAGTAATCAAGGGAATGAGACACACCTGGGAGACAATCAACGGGGAGGACAGGACAGAGACTCACAGGGGACAGGATCACATAGAAAAACTCAAAAATAAACACAGAAACACGGAACATGACAAGTAAACTTGATTGAAGGTTTCAGCTGAGCTGTCCTCAGGAAAGCGTTTTATTTCTTTGGGTAGGTAGGTCAAAGGAAATTAGTTCATTTCATTTTGCTTATTTGCTGAAAAGGGACATTGTGTATTAATGGATATTTTTCAACAATGCTGTGAATGCACCCATTTACAGCCGAGGCTTGTTTGCATTTTTTGTCCTCCTGCTAGATGCTGCAGGATGCTAATTAATATAGTGGATAAAAAAATAAATAAAAAAAAACAAAGAAAGAAAGAAAACATCAAAATACAAAAACACAAAATGTAAAATAGAATAAATTCTAACTCTCGGGTTGCATACGTACAGAGTGTATGTTGGAAAAATGGACCAAACCAGGTGAGAAGTGCTAAAAAAACACATCCATGCAAGTATTTCAATTCCAACAATTTCTGGTCCAGCATCATTTGGTGCATGTCTTCTCTCTCTGCTCTTCCTCCTGACTACCTACTGTTGAATTAAGGTCACTGGTGCCATAAAAACCTTTAATAAAATATTAATGTTCTGAAAATTACATCAGTGATCAAACACACCGAGAACATGACACACTCATTCTGTGCTTCATAATCTCACACAACTTTACATAAAAGATGAGGAGGAAACGAAGAAGAATGTCAGACCTTTATTTTTTCTTTGACATTATTCCGCATTAATTCATCGGTTGCCGAATGACTGATTCTCAAGTTATGTGCAGGGTTAGGGTTAGGGTAGGGTTAATGTTCAATGTTTTGAGTTTCCATTGTGTTTGTAAAGAACAAACCTTAAACATACAAAAATGACATAAGTTAAAGGCTTCTACACCAAAACTAAAAAAAAAAAAAAGATTTTAAGCTCTTTCATCTTTGTTTAAATATTCTTGATATGCTTTATAGGCACTATTACATTAACATACTTCAAAATCAAAAGCAGAAAAATTTTTTAGTTTGATAGTTTTGTGCAATTTTTTATTGTTTTTATTTTTTTTAGAACAAATTATAAGCCTTATTTGCTAGTTGGTAGCTTCTTCAGTCTCTCAGATTGCATTTAAAGACAGCCATTTAGAGAGGAGCTTCTTTTAACCTATTTATTTCATCTGAACGCCGAAACAGCAAACACAGAACTACAGCACATGGAGTTCAACGGCCCTGTCCCGATACTCACGCTTTCACCCTTTGTTGCTTTCAAATGCGGCTTCCCCACCAAAGGGTTCGAGTGCATAGTGTGTCCGAATTCTCCAGAATTTTCCCCATTGCACCCTAAGCTTGCATTCAAATGGACTTCAGCAAAGTGTATTACCCACAATTCACTCTGTCTTGAAACAGACCCAGTGTCATGATCGTGTTTCTGTGTATTTGTTTTTGGAGTTTTTTGTGTTCAGTTTGCTCCCTGTGTCTCTGCGTCTTCCCCCGTTGATTGTTTCCCAGGTGTGTCTCATCCCCTTGATTACCCCGTGTGTATTTAAACCCACCTGTTGTCCTCGGCTCTTGTTGGATCCTTGTCATGTGATGCCTGTTTCTCCTCCGTGCTGTTCTCCGTTGTTCTGTGCCTTTGACTTTCATCATTAAATATTCATCTTCATCACAACCTGGGTCTACCTGCGTCCTCATCCTCAGTCACCTCAACCAAACCACTTTACGACACCCAGGTGGGAAGCAAACATCACAAAGGGTTAAATTAAAACATATCATGCATGTGATGTTTTAAATTAAAAGGCAGAAATGTGCAATTGTGTCTGTTGCAAAAAAAAAAAAACTATTTTCAAATACAAATTAAATAATTTGTTTCACTCTACATGGATGTGTGAATACTATTGAATTTTTCTCTGTGTTCTACAAATCGTAACAAAACACATTTGAACAGCCAAATGTCTCCTGCACTGACCTTTTACAGAAAAAGACCTACCGTGCATATAAAATCATTCTGCCACCTTCTTAAAACACATTTGTTACTGTTACTGCTTATGACTATTTCACTCTTTATTTCTTCTTCAACAGACGAGTTCTTGTTGTACTTGCACTATAACTTTTAGCAGTACAAATGCCAAAATAGCGATTTTAGATGTTGTAGTTGTGACACGGTGGGCAAGTCTGACCTGTACCGCTTCAATATAGCCGTATAGCTCTCATATGTTGCTATGAGGCCTTTTTAATTGTTTTGTGTTATTTTATTCTCATTGTAAGCACAATTCCTTTTCTTTGTTCTCTCGTCTGCACTTAAATACTTAGCAGAGCGAGAGAGACGCTTTCTGATTTATGTAAACAATGCCTGTGTGATTTTAATCTCCAAATAAAAACAAACATCCACTCAAAGCTTGCCATAACACACAGACAAACCTCTAAGGCAATCAAAACACTGTTGAGAAAAAAACAAAACAATTTTATTTTAAGAGAGAAGTCATATACCATTACATGAAAAGACACCAATAGATACAACATAGACATCACAATATTCAATGTCTAAAGTTTAAAACCATAAAATGTGCCAAAATAAAAACTGTGCTGGTATGGACTCACAAAAACAGCTTTTAAGCTCTTATATTTTCTTTTTCTTTACTCTCTGATGGGCAAGTCACCTGTGTGCAAAAAGTCGTGTGCGTTTGATTGTGCTCCTTGTATGGGTGAAAAAGACATTTTAAATTAGCCAATTTTAGCCGTCAAGCAGAAATGTCTGACCTGCGATGAGGCTTGAATTTTACTTTTCATGTTTGGTTTTGTTCCTAGTTTTGCTCTCGGTCTGTGCCGTTTGTTCCCGTTTCCTACGGTTCAGTAAAAGCAGCTCTGACGCCACATAATGGCACATTTTGATTCAGCTGCATCTCCTCAAAGAACTGCAAACTGGTGAAATCTGGTTTGTTCACTTCATTCAGAACATGTTAATTCTTTTTTTCCCCCTTCTGCTATGTTGTTGAACACTTGTTTCTGCTATACCTCACAAAAACATACCCTAACCATCTGTCATGTATGACTTGTTTTAATTTTTTTTTTTTTACATTTCAGTTTGCCTGAAAAGCTCCGAACAAGAAAGCCAACAGTCAAATCCAACAACACAATAAATAAATTGATCAAACGGCAAATAAAGGAGAAAAAATATTCCCACTTGTTTTTTTTTGTGTCCGATGTCGACTGAGCAATCAAATCCAACCCAAGTGGGATTTTCTTTTCTTTTAGTTGCATCGCTGCACACAATAACAGATTTTCTTCCTGGTCACCTCACATTCACAGAAGTCAGGCAGCTGGTTGAAAGTTAACACAAACACAAATCAAAGTCTGTATTCTTTTTTTTTTTTTAGCATTGCAATGCACCTTGTCACAGGAGCTGAAACATAAAACAGAGCTGAGCGTCACCGCTGTCACATTATGTTGCGTGGCTAAACGACAACTGAGTAAGAATCAGCTGATTGTAAACAGTAACGGTGTACTGCAGCTTTAAACAAATAATTGCACTATGTTGTTCACAGCTTCATTTAAAAATACAAAATGTCATATATTAGAAAACATTTTCTGCAAAAATGTGATCTGGTCTTTACTTCTGGGATTATTTAAATACAATCTGCAGTGAACAAAATCATGCAAAAGATTTCAACACTTTCAATATTTACCTTGCAGAAAAAAAAAAAAGCAAATTAGAAGAGCAGCTTTGTGTGGAAAGGCTACAGGTGCAACCCTGGTGCTTTCATAGGTTTTTGGAGGAAAATTAGCAACTAGGTGTTGCTTATTTCTGGACTTGAAAAACAGGGTAGTTCAAACAGGACTGTTTGCATCCATTAAAGCCTATGGGTGTGTGTGTGTTAGCATAATGCCACAGAGAAAAAGTTCTAACAACAAATTTGGAGATGCACTTGATTCTGTCCATCAATCAGGATGGCAATTCCCAAGTAATGTCCATCACATCAGTCTGTCTGTTTGCTAAAGCCTGGCCCAAACTGGGACATTAGCAGGACAATAATCACAAATAGGGCAGCCAATCTGAATCACATTGACTGAAGCAGAATATAAACATGATTTTTTATTTATTTTTTTTAACGGCTGGATGAAAGTCCAGATCTTGACCGATTTGAAATGACGTGATATAAGAACAAGAACTGTGCCGACATGAATCCGCACAAATCTCCATGGACTGAAGCAATGCTGTGAGAACGAGTGGCTCCTTCAATAGGGTTGTAAAACTGAAAAGGTCGTACAGGAGTCGTATTTGCAGGGTAAGTGGGGTTAAACAAAGTAACAGTAACATCTTGCACACGCTGTGCTTCCATTCTGGCTTCGTCTTTGTTTGGCAGTTAATTCTTTTGTTCACTTTATTTTTTATTCAATTGATTTCCTTTAGAACCACCAGAGCTATCGACAAAGAGAGTGTAGTTTCTGCTTAGTAATGCTGTGCATTTGATTTGTATTCAGTCATTGTGCATCTGATCTTAAACACTGCAGTGGTTGCAGGAAAATGTACAAGTTTTATAATCCTTGGCTGCGCAGAGTGAGTTTGAAGTCAGTTAATAGGAAATAGGCTGATGTTCCTGCACTGCAAGGCTTGTTGCTTTGAAAATGGAACAAAAACTACAACAGCAACAATATTTTTTTAGCATCTTCAAACACAAAGTTTGGAAAAGTGAACAGTTCGGATTGATCAGATATTACAAAGCACAACAATGCAAAAGCTTCACCTCGTCAAATTAATTCCCTGAGATGCTATGATTTTGGCAAGACGGAAACGACATTGCCTTTTTTTTTTGTATGCCTGTGTTTCACATTCACTGTTAAAATAACTGATATGTAGTCACAATCATAAGGACACAATTCAAGACCCCACCTTGATAAACACAGCCCCTGAAAAAACTGAAAACCATGTAAGACCAAAAATGGCAGAAGTGTTATTTTATGGCTTACACATTCATGAGAAAAACACAGGCTGACACCCCAAGACAGGTGTGCCAAAGAAGGTCGGTACTACACAAGTATAAAGTTCTACATCGAATCCTTTCACAGGAAAATTTGACCAACGAAAACCTCTGCTTCACAAGCAACAGGAATAACTGAAAGCCTTTTTGGTCATTAGTAAAACTTAAATTCTCTGAGAAACTGAACACTGGGCTTCCTGCAGCCGTCAAACCAGCAGAAATAAACACCTAAAACACAAATCCACACATTTTGAGTGGATGAACTATTTAATGATATTCTAATTTGAGATACACCCGTTTATATGTGTACAACTGGAACACTTTTTACCAAGTCCTTCGATAATTTTCACGTCTCCTTTGACCCCCTGACCTGCAGTGGGCTTTATCCATTAACAAGGTTCCTTTATACCTCAGACTGGATTTGCATTTTATTGTTTTTTTTTTTTTTTTTTTTTTTTTTTTTTTTTTTTTGTTTTCTTTCATGTGAATATAGATCAAATTGAATGAAAAACGAGTACATTTAGGCAACGCTTTTCCCGACTAACAGGAAAAATCTGGGATTAAACAGATTTATCAGTGATATTTATCGAGTCACTGCGGAGGATCGTTGGAGGGCAACATCTCCCTGGAGGCCTGCTCCTGCTGAGCCCCTTCCGGTACAATCCTCATGCTCACACTGTCTGTGGTGCTCGGGTTCACTCTGAACTTCCTGTTGATCGGCCGCACGGCCCGGAGGAAATGTCTCTTGAAGGTCTCACTGAGACCAATGTAGAGAAAAGGGTTGATGCAGCTGTTTGCGTAACCCATGCTGATGGCGATGCTGTATGCATATGAGAAAGCTATGCTTGGGTTCTGCACCCCGAGGTGGATGAGCTGCAGGATGTAGTAAGGAGCCCAGCAGGTAAAGAAAGCGAGGCAGATGGCCACCGCCATCCGGGTCACCTTCCTGGTCCGCACCCTTAGACTGCGCGGGGGCAGCGGTGCCACGCTGGCGGACATGTGTTGTAGGATCTTGAAGAACACCAGGCAGATGATGACCAAAGGGATTGCAAAAGCCAAGAAAAACTGATAAAGCGTAAACCAGTATGTGTCATTGACCAAATCTGGGAGAAGGAGAGCACAGGCAACCAGCCCATCCGGCAGAGGCATCAAACCAGTGTACATCCACACAGGGATGATTGTGAACAAGGACAGTACCCACACCAGTCCGATGACCAGTACAGCTACATATGGTGTTCGGATGTGGTTGAAGCGGATCGGGTGAACCGTCGCCAAGTAGCGGTCAAGGGTCATTGCAGTGAGGATGTAAGTGCTGACAATCTGGCTGTTGGAGTCGAGGGCAGTGATGACCGTGCACATGGCTGCACCGAAGTGCCACGTACCGTTGCCCAGCAACTGGTGGATGAGGAACGGCATGCCAAGAAGAAACAGGAGATCGACGATTGACAAGTTTAAGATGAATATGTCTGGGACTGTTTGCTTGGCACGACACTTGGTCTTCTTCAGAATTGTGTATATGACGATGCAGTTCCCGATGATGCCCAGGAAACAGATGATTCCAAAGATGACAGGCAGACTGGCACCGCAGTGAGGGGCATCATCTTCAGCTGGAACAAAACAGTGAGCATCAGTTCAAACGTGCTAAGAAAACTACTCTATCGTCGTCTGAAAGAGATTATTTTATAGCAGTATGTACATTTACTCACTCATTGGAACAGAGTAATAAAATTCAGTGTAATTCAACAGTCACTAAAAAGCATATCACACCAGACAACACAACAGCACACAACATAAAATTGAGAGAAAAAAATCTTATGGTAAGGAATGATTGTTAAAAAATGTACCAGGTGGCAAAATTACTGTTATCCTGAACAATAAGATGAAGCACTCTTTTAATCTGTAATGTTTTTGAGTTGGACAGGAATTCAAATTAGTATTATATGGCTAGGGAGCTGCACAGTGGCGCAGTTGGTAGAGCTGTTGCCTTGCAGCAAGAAGGTTCTGGGTTCAATTCCCAGCCCTGGTCTTTCTGCATGGAGTTTGCATGTTCTCCCTGTGCATGCGTGGGTTTTCTCCAGGTACTCTGGTTTCCTCCCACAGTCCAAAAACATGACTGACAGGTTAATTGGCCTCTCCAAATTGCCCCTAGGTGTGACTGTGTGCATGCGTGGTTGTTTGTCTCTGTGTTGCCCTGCGACAGACTGGCGACCTGTCCAGGGTGAACCTGGAACGATAGCTGGAGATAGGCACCAGCACCCCTCCTGACCCCACTGAGGGACAAGGGTGTCAAGAAAATGGATGGATTATATGGCTGACTGTGTTCCTAGTGTATGAATATGATTTAACATAGACCAATTTCTGATAACAACTTGCAACTAACTGTAGCAACTGGTGGGTATCCCTAACCACTGTATGCCATCTACATGTCAACCTAATGTTTGGTGATAAAGCTTTGAAAAGCCTTGTTGATGAAAGGTGCTATACAAAAAAATTTTGACTTAGTATCAGGAAAATGTCTGTACTTTCCTACCATCACATATAAACGTGGGTTTTGCAAAACTCTTCTGGGACTTTAACTTGAACAATGGGCTTTTACCAGATGAGGCTTAAGATTGATGTAATAAAAAATACTGTTAAATCGTGAAAGAAATGGTTTCCAAGGTATGAGATATATTTTCATGGCCATGTCAGTTATCGTATTTAAATATCTTAGAAATCCTATAGAGTGAGTTGAGGAGGCAAAAGAAAGAATCAATGACTCTGGACTATTTAGAGACTACAAAGAAAAATGGAAATCCTTTTCTCTGTGTGCATCAACCTTATGAAGTACAGGGAAGACCAGTGCTGTCCTTTTGGCCAAAGAATTTGTACAAAGTACTGACAGAAGAAGTTCTGGCATTTGTGCCTCTGGTGATTTTATTCCATATAGTTATTTCATAAACATAATTTCTCATGTTAAGCAGTTGCAATAAATTTATCCACATGTGTATATTATTTTATTGCACAATTGTAGAAACTATCACAGAAGACCTTTTACTTTTAATCTATTTATTTCCAAAGAAATAAAATAAACCAAACCTTTATATATCACATTTAATAAGATATTGCTCTTAAATACCTTAAACCAGGTAGGAAAATCTGACTTAAATCTTCCCTTTTCTTTTTCATGCTTGTGGCTTTAGTTAAAATAGGTCAACAGTGACAAAACAGGTTGCACAATTTATGCAACATTTTTTAATTAAATAAAAACAAGGGTTTAGTTATTACTATTATTATATGTTGTCTCATGCCATTACTTTTAATACCTAATACAACAATCCTTGCCGTATTGATAGAACTAAAAATAAAATTAATCTTAAAATCAATCAAACAATTAACTTACCTCTTGTTAAATTTAAGTCTCCATTAGAAAAATAAGAAACGTTCAAGAAATCCATTAGTTAAAATGTCACCTCAAGCAAGGATTTTGTTTTCTCTTCGTCTTCTTCTTTGTCTTTGGAAAGCCGACTATTTCTCAGGTAAATGGACCTGAACCGGACCGCAGCGGAAATCCCTTCCTGGTCCTGATTCCAGGTGTGTCTGTGGAAGCTTCCCCAGTCTGAATGCGGTGTGCAGGGTGTGTGCGCTCCGGTGCGCTCCGGTGCGCGCTACCCTCACAGATATGGATTGAAAACGGATCCCGTCTCTGAAGCGAGCAGCTTCAGAGAGTCTGACTCCGCTCTGCTCTGAGCTCGCTGCGTGTGTTTAATTAGCCTGGACATGCAGGTGTCAGCCACCATGGGGGAAAATTAGAGATGCTGGCTGCACCAGACCGTGTGTGTGTGTGTGTGTGTGTGTATGTGTGTGGAGAGCTGCATTTGATCCAATGTGTGTGTTATTGGGTTGCTCCAAAGCAAGCAGGTCGCGGAGACCGCAACAACTTTACAAAAAGGTTGGCACAGGAAAATAAAACCATAGAAAATACTCAGAAAAAAAATACTTTTTTCTAACAACTTGTGTTTATTTGATAGTTTTCTAAATCCTATAATGAAAAAAGCTTTCGCGCAGTTTCTGATCCGCAACAATTTTCAGACCTGTCTGAACCGCCAGAGGGCGCTGTTCTGAGATCGTTTGTTAAATCTCGATGTGATCAACATCATTTGGACTTAACTATGGATCTGTTTTAGTCTTGAGATCCGGTCAGACTTCAGATTTAGTGGAAAGGAAAGGTTTGCAAATGTCTATAAATGTGTTTCTGTGTAAGAGTCTGTAGGTGTGAGTAAAGCACCTGCACTCAACCAATTGCCCTGCATCCTGTGGGGATTGCCATTATGTTACAGAGGCTGATGCTTGCCACTGCTGACAAGGTCATTTTGCTCGAAGAATCTGTTATGAGAATATTTCACACATCCTGACGACAGGAACAGAATAAGACTCGGCACAGTGAGCTGCAGAATGAAGATTCTGGCTGCAGGGACTTTTGAATAGGAAGAAATTAGTTTTCAGTGGCAATAAATTCTTAATTTTAGACAGGCTGTTTTCACGCTTCATGCATCTGTAATTTATTTGGAACCAATTGGTCCGTCAGTTCCTTGTCAGAAACATATTCATAAGGCAGAGACCAAAATAAAAGACAATAAGATACTTGGGTAGACCATTATGTAAAGGCCATCACAAAATAATGCCTTAAATGAGAGATAGTAAATATTTATTTTAAATTAAAAGAGAAAAATTGCAAGAAAAAATGTTAAAACTGCAGCAAGAATTTGAATTCTCAGTAGTTACTCAACTCAGAGCCAATACACCTTTTGCTGCAGTTTCCTTGTACAAAGTTTCCTTTGTACAAGGAAACTTTGTACAAAGTGTGGCAGAAATCTTATTAGGTTTAGGTCTTTACTGAACCATTCTAGCAAATCAATATGCTTTTGTCTGCAATATCTCACCTCTTAACAGGAAGAAAACTGGCTCAATACCAGCGGCCATCTGCCACAACCGACTGGAGGTCTGACAAGGCAGAGCAGATACAACAGAAGAGCTGATGTAGGATAACTTTCTATGTTAATGAAAAGTAAAATGTTAGTAGCAGGAGATGGAGAGCCTTTCGTTGCTGGCAGCATTATCTCAGCTCCAGGAAGTTACCAAACAGAAGGTCAGACCACATGCTGCTTCTATGAAGAGAAAAAAAATGTTAAGAAAAAAAGCATAAAGTTAACAGCTGAAATAACAGCAAATTATGTAAATTGGAGAGAAGTAGACGAAGAAAGTAGCAGAGTGAGTAAAAGTGATCAGTGGCCTGAGAAGCCTAAGCCTAGTGTAGCTTTTGAGCTGTGGCTCTGTGTTGAGACTCTGCTCCTATCTTCCAGCACAGCATGATGCTGCCACTACCGTGGCTAACAGCAGTACTGATTGCATGAAAGTTCACAGTCTCAGTTCTCAGTTTATGCAAACTGAGGACTGCCCTCCATATGTTTGCTGTGTGCCCTATATGACTTGTGGAAAACTGCAAACAGGACATTTTGTCAGGGTTCTCGGTTGTTTTGAGGTGTGATTACTCGACTCTAGTCTGATTATCATTCATCTTCGTTCTAATTTAGTTTAGTTTTTTCTTAGTTATTCCAGTTTACTGGTGTCTAGTTTTATAGCTCTCCTGTTTCTCCCTCGCCCCCTGGTGTCTCTGTCTCTCTTCACCCTCTGTCTGACTTCTGCTTTCCTCTTTCACTCCTCCAGCCTGTTAGTTAACCATCCAGCATTCACCCTCACCGTCTTTAAACACCTTTCCCTGCCCTCGCTGCTGGTTCCTCCTGATTATTCCCTGTACTGTTCCTCCATGTACCCGGTTGCTTTTTATTCCTGCGTTTTGGTGTCCTCCTGGCTGGGTGTAAGTTCTTGCTTGTTATCAGTTTTTTCACCGAAAGATCACCATGTACTCGACACCTCTGCATGTGAACCCAGTTTGCATCAACAAATCACAACCCTTTCATCTGGCCTTATTTCAACAGTGACTTTATTCTTCCCAAAAGAGAATTTGTGGACCTAAATGAATAATTGTCTTGACGGTAGAGTCTCCCATCCGTGCCATAAATGGATCTCTTGGATGCATCCCTAATCAATGCTCTCCTTGTCCAGCAATGCGGTTTAGGTTGACAACAGTGTCTTTGTTATGCATTTGTGCCACACTCCTTCCACTTTTGCGTGACGCGTTGGTCACTGCCCTCCGAGATGCTCAGATATTATTTAATAGCATAAACTTCGTGTTTCTTGATGGTCATGATGTTGTATGTTTACTCCCTTTGACTAGCAAACACTTGAAACCTTCTTAGAATAGCTGTTTGTATGCTTCACTTTATAACTGTCCCTGTAGGAAATTTTGCCTTGAAGCGAGGTAAAAGCAGGTGAGGGGGTAAATGAAAAGCAATTATTTAGCTTTTCGTTTTAGCTAAATAACTGAGTAATGAGAGTTTTTCCATCTGTTGATCTTTGCTTTCGGATGTATGAATCTGTTACCAGATGGTAGGAGCTTAGATTCACAATGCAGAGGGTGATCAGAGATGCAGTGAATGTCTTTAGCATTTTGTGTGGCCTTCTTCAATACAGTTTGTCAGATCTGGTGGAGATAATGTTACCTTGTCGATTTTTCTTTTCTCCGAGGTTGCCAAACCAAGAGATGTGGAAAAAAAGTAAATATTTGATTGCATGTCAATGGAAAGTGGTCATCAACATTTGACACACACTGTGCAGAGGAAGTGCAGTCTTCGATGTGCTGCTTTTCCTGTCTTTATCAATGTCAAGCTTCCCTTTAAACGTGGATGTCAGTGAAGGAGAGGATTCATTTGAAAGTCTATGCAGAGATCTTTGATTTTGGAGACGTTTAGTTTTAAAAAGGAACCGTCGAGAAAATAGAATAAAACCATTTTGACAAGGTGTGTGATCTTCTCCATGTAGCAGGCTGACGGTAACTGATGATCTGTAAGCTTCAAAATGTGTTGTACTGCACAGAAGCTCCTGAAGAAAACACAACCCTGAGGTAACCCAGTGGAGGAAAATGGTTCATAGTCAATCACTCAGACACACTGGCGTCTTCCCGGGGTTAACCCTAATCACCCACAAATCCACCTGATTTACACGTCCTATAAAAAGTCTTCGCTCTCTTGTTTTTCAAATCTATCATTATCAAATTTAGGCTTTTCATGACAGAAAAGTAATTAAAGAAAGATCCAAGTCAGACAGTTTTCAATCATGAAAAGATTAATCTTAACATCATGATTCGAGGTAATATAAAATGTTTGAAAATTAGTTGATGAAACTCCACCAATGTGATGCTTTTAAAGGAAACAAATTTTTTCTCATAATGAGAAACAAAGTAGCCCAAGGAATCCAAATGAGAAACATACATTAATAAGCCTAGATTATCAATGTTTGCGATGAAGAATGAGAAGAAGGAGCCAGTGAACAACCCTGGAGAGAGGGAGCAGCACATACACTGATGAAGACGTGGTGAACGATCAGAACTATCAGAAATGAGTGAATGCAGCAAAGAGAGAGCGAGAGCAGAGGAGAGATTACATGATTGAAAACACCTGGGGAAGGAAGAGAGAAAGAAAACAGGGAATGAACCCTGAACCTAGTAAACACAAAATAAACAACTGTTCTAATTTTTTCTCTTTTCGAGGCCACAACCAAACACAGACTGCGTCTGCCGATCGAGACTGAAGCGCTGCACCACAGGGGAGACGGAGGGAGAGTCACTTTTCTGGAGCGGATTTGCTACTTTTGTGTTGCTTAGCCATATATCTATTACATTGCATCACCTATTTTTATTGTAATATTTTTGTTGTAATAATAGAATCACAGATTTTATGGTGCCCCCTGGCCACTTGGTGCGCTACATGAACTGGATGAGAATAAATGAACTGACACAAATGGTGAACTAAAATGACAAGAAATAAGAGGGGGAAAAATCAACAATAAAGAAATGATCAGAAGAGGAATAACTACAGTCCAAACAGTCTAAAGATCACAACAATGTTTTTCTTAAAGGGATTGTATTGCTCTAGCAGCTCCTCTTGTACTTCCATTCATAGCTAATTGGAAATGAACAAAGTCCAAGGTTCTGGATTACACTGTAAGGTTGGGATATAATGTCTAAGAAAATAACCTCAATACGTAAGCAGGATCTATTCACTTAGATAACTCTGAGGTCTGAAGCTCATCACGCTGGTAGCAGCTTCTTTCATTCCAGGATCCAAATCCAACTATTTATGAGTGGATAAAACCAGACAAACAGAAACAGGAAAGAGCAGGGGCAGAGAGAGTTCAGTACTCAAAATATTACAGAGCAATTTAGCTAATGAAGAGCTTCCCCATGCCATCAAAGCAACACACACACAAAAAAAAAACACAAACATGTGATTTTTACAGTCCACTGGGAGGCTGATCTATAATCATCTCACGCTGGTGTAAGGTGCCAGTATGCTGGAAGGTAATTAAAATCAATTTGTGCAGCTCACGGAACGGACAAATTGCACTCTCAATGCTCAGCAGCAAAGTCCCATAAGAAACCCCCAGTTGTTGCATTTCCTTAAATGAAAATCAAATGTGACTGCACCCACTCAGATCTACCCTGCTGAAGCTTCTCTTTTAAAATATTCAATTTATTCACCTCCCACTGTAACATTAGATACACCTCAACGTCACCTCAATGAACCCACAACTCTAATTCCTTGTGGCATCAATTCAACAACATGCTGCTTCCCTCTGGGGTTTTGGTCCATTTTTGCATCACGGCATCATCTTTTAACTTTTTTGTCTGCACAGCCATTAAAATCTCAAAGTAAAACTCTGTTGCTTACTGGACTGAGATTTAGTGGAGATCACTGGACCGCAGTGCAG